CCCAACACTTTCCTACCAGTGGCACCCAATGAAACCACCACTAAACTTAAAAAAAAACGGACGTAGATAAAAAAAATGTTGCAAAAACCAGTGTTCCCCAAACGTGTCAACATCAGATCTGTTTTTTCACTTTTTGATATAAAAGGGTTTTTCCGCCGCCGTGTTGGCAGCGAGTTGTGGTTTAGTTCAAGCTTTTCGCAGGTAATAAAAAAATCCGGAAACGGAACTATTTCTCCAAACGCCGCCTCTTCTTCTTCATCTACGTTTTTACAGATCACCGCCAATGTCTCCTCTGTTTTTATTCATCGTTTTCATGCTTTTCGTACGAGTCCTTTGTCTCCAGGAATAGGCTGAGTTCACTGATATGAATTATTTCTTAAAGCTCGGGTACCTAACTTTGCATTTCCCGAAAATCTGATGTTTTGTTTTACGGTCTGACCAGGTTTGGTTTGGTCTGAAAGAGTCTAAGGCTGGACCACTTGTTTTGACGAATCGAAGACTTTGAATAGTCCAACGAGGTTAACTGAGTTGTGTTGCCGACGTAGACACACAATTATACAGTAATATTACCCAGGCCACAGAATTCAGCATTTTATCTATTTTTTTAGGCTAAAAATAGAGATTTATTTTGTATTTTTACAGTATAGACTTAGATTATACTTAATATTCTTGTGCTCCTCATTCTACTGCTCTGTAACTGGTGATGCAACACTGGAATTTCCCCACTGTGGGACAAATACAGGATCTTAAATCTTGTATTTTTTTTTTAAGTTTCTTTAACTTTAACTTATTATTCATGTAGGTTGCTTGGCATTTGCTGTATTCTGTTAAACTCACCCGTGTTAGCTTGTTTTAAAAGTGAGTACTGGTAAAAAACTTTATAAATGACTTCATTTTCCACCCGTTTGGTTAAAAGTAACTGAATTATTTTACAGATTATTTCACGATTCCACTGATTTGAATTTCAGGTTTCCAAATGTCCGCTCTGAGAGTTCTAGAAGTTTCAGATTAGCGGTAGCGACTCCTAGCGCTAATAAATGTTAGCTTAGCCTCAGTATCGACTCCTAGCGAACCCAGCCTGTCACTGGAGCCGGCGTCCTCCATCTTGGCTCACATTTCCCGCTCTTTTCAGCCTGTTTTTTTTCCTGTGCGCGTAAATTCTAAATTCCGGTGCAAATATTGTTGAACGTTGAGCGAAGAGAACGTTCACAGACGACAGGGAAAAGCAGGTCACAGTTCTAAAGGCAGAGCTCACGACGAAAACCGTGGAAAAGAGGAAGAGAAAAACCTACAGTCACTGCAAAAACAGAACTTCACCGAACCAGAACCAGAACCAGAACCAGAACCAGAGACAAAATCCACTGTTTGTTCTGTGTCGGCGGGTTTAGGGCATAGACAGTGGATGGACCGCGTCTTCCAATCGACAAATATTCACTTTAATGTTAGAGGTTAATAAGATGTTATGGCTGCACCTCAAAGATTTGTCAGAATATTATGAGAAAAATCCAATCGTTAATTTTCAGTCAAATTAAAGCATTTTTAATCTTATTTTTAATCTAGAGTGAGTGTGAATCTGTGGTACTGGATTGGATTGTAAACGGTGGGAAATGGTGAGGACTGGATCTACAGCCTCAGTCCTGGGTCTACAGCCTCAGTCCTGGATCTACAGCCTCAGTCCTGGGTCTACAGCCTCAGTCCTGGATCTACAGCCTCAGTCCTGGTCTACAGCCTCAGTCCTGGGTCTACAGCCTCAGTCCTGGTCTACAGCCTCAGTCCTGGATCTACAGCCTCAGTCCTGGATCTACAGCCTCAGTCTGTTCAGTCTGGTCTACAGCCTCAGTCCTGGATCTACAGCCTCAGTCCTGGGTCTACAGCCTCAGTCCTGGGTCTACAGCCTCAGTCCTGGTCTACAGCCTCAGTCCTGGTCTACAGCCTCAGTCCTGGGTCTACAGCCTCAGTCCTGGATCTACAGCCTCAGTCCTGGATCTACAGCCTCAGTCCTGGTCTACAGCCTCAGTCCTGGGTCTACAGCCTCAGTCCTGGGTCTACAGCCTCAGTCCTGGTACAGTCCTGGGTCTACAGCCTCAGTCCTGGGTCTACAGCCTCAGTCCTGGGTCTACAGCCTCAGTCCTGGGTCTACAGCCTCAGTCCTGGGTCTACAGCCTCAGTCCTGGATCTACAGCCTCAGTCCTGGGTCTACAGCCTCAGTCCTAGAACCAAACCGTTTTTAAAGCAAGGACCTAGATGAGACTATATGACTTTAAGTGCTTTGAAAGTTACATACCCCCAGCTTTAAAACAGTTTAAAGTTTCTTCTAATAAACATCAAAACACATATTTTAAAAACTACCTGAAATCTGGTCCTTTTCTTGCTAGTTATCACTATTAGCGTGCGATAATGCTAATGCTAAAGCTAAGTCTCTTTAGAATCCATCACCGTTTTACTGTTTATGCCCCAAACTTTTTTTCCCAACACAGAAACCTTTTACATTATTGTCGCGTCCAAACTTGGGCAGAAAAAGCCTATTTCATGCAAAGCCGGATTGAAAAAAACATGCATCCTCCCATTGCTTAAAAAAGAAAAAGGCAGCCATCTTGGATTTCACTGTTTCTCTCTCTCTCTCTCATATATATATATATATATCTGTATATATTATATTATTTTGTCATAACTCTACCCATATATGGTCTGTTTCCACGGTCTCTGTTCACACCTTTGACTTAGCAGCACGACTATGTTACGGCAGCAGTGACAAAACACTAGAAAACAACGTGAATACAAAAATAAAGGCTTAAAAATCCAAAAGCAAACTATTCTTCGACAATGAGGTATTATTAATATCTTAGAAATCTATCCGAACGTCGAACACTATTGTTGATTTGAAGTTGTTAGCTACATAGACCGGGGCGTTGCCTTTGGTTTCACGATGGGGCAACACGACTACAGCCTCCGATAAGTGCATGCAGTTTATTTTTTTTTACATAAAATTTAAATTAAGAATCTATAGAAAATAAAAATAGATACAATTTTGCTTCAAACCATTTCCCCACTGTCTGTAAAGCAGGGATGTTTCCAAACCGGAGCTAATTCTAAGTGATTATTCCCCAATTCTGTCGATTTTTTAAGGGGATTTATCGCCAAAAATGAAGATGAAATTGGTTGCAAAAATGGTGTTTTTGAGGCTGTACACTGCAAAAACTGCAAATCCACACGACGTCCGCCACTTCTAGGAACGTCTTTAAACCGCTTCTCACAAAACTGATCACATTTGAGTCAGAAATGTATTGAACAAACACGTTTTATGTTTTTTTTTTTTTAGCAGTGGCGTCAGTTTGACTTGAGTGGATTTCGTGTGTTTTTGCGGCAAAGTAAACAAACGTATTACAGCCGTTTTAAAGCAGAGTCCGAATGTCCCGCCGTTTCCCAAACCACTCCTTACTCAGTCCAGAAAACATCGGTGGAAACTATAGTGCACTTTCTCAACAGGAAAAATACAATAATCAGAATGAAATTAAAGTCTTTAGAGGCCAAAATGTAATCCTGACAAAGTGGAGACAAGATTGGGGCTCGTGATGAAGGACAAAATGATCTTTCTGTAGATAATGTTATTGTCTTTACGGTTAATGGTTAAATGTGGGGTTTTTTGTTGTTCCTAATCTAGACTACAGCTCTTTGATCTATTTCTCTCCTTTCTTCTTATAATTATCATTATTTGCCCATTTTAGAATGATGTATTTTTGTTGTTGTTTTGTTTGTATGGATGGATGTGTTCCTGCTGCTACTGGACACCTGCATTTCTCTATCTATTTATTTATCTATCTATCTGCTTTTCAGATTCATGCTGCTAAAATCTGGAACAATCTTCCTGAAGATGTGAGACAGGCCTCCTCTCTGACAATGTTTAAAACCAGGTTAAAAACAGTGCTGTTTAGCTGTGCTACAACTGAGGGATTTTATATTTATATTTTTATCTTTCTTTTTAATGTTCTGTGATTATTTATGATTTTAATGCTTTCTTGTTTTGTTCAGCACTTTGAGTTGCCTTGTGTATGAATTGTGCTATACAAATAAACTTGCCTTGCCTATCTATCACACTTTAGTCTCACTGAAAAGAACCTTCTAGACTCTTCCGTCTCCTCTCGTTCATAAGTGTCCATTTAAAACAGCTCTTCTATCAACTGTCTTTAACCCACATTTGTTTTACATGTATTGGCTTTGGGGCCCCGCTTATAAAGAAATGCAGCTTCCTGGGAGTTCCCTTTAACAAAACCCCGACCAAGTCTACAATAAATATGTGTATGACTTGTGTGACTATAAGTTTTGTAAATAATGAAATGAATTTGAACTTGGATACGGGAGAGACTGCTCCTGTGACTTTTCTTTTCCAAACGCACTGTGGGGGGGTGTTGTGTGCACTACTTTTCCCCCTGATGCACTTCCAGACTGCTGCAGGGGTGCGTGGGTGACATCACTGCAAAAACATGATCCAGTATGTGGTAAAAAAGTGCTTGAATCGAGTGGTTTTAGGAGGATTTTCTACTTCCTGGTGGATCATCAAGACTATTGGTCCTCCCACTTGTCAATCATTCTGCTGATATGTGCTAAACTTTGGGGAAATCCTCTCATATGACTTTAAATTTGAGAACATTCTGACTGTGATAAAACAAAATTCACCAATGGGAATAATCATTTAGTTATATTTTCTCATTCAAAGGGAGACATTTCTTGTATCTTTTTTAAAACAAGATAATTTTTTCTTTGTCCTGTTGGAAAATCTACTTTTAAGGCTCAGTCAGAATGTGCTCAAATTAAAATATTTTGTGCCAAATTTGAGTAATTTTTGACTTATTATTCATGACTTTTTGCAGAGACGGTGGACATTTGGACAGAGCAGATGAAGGAACAAGCCTTATCCATAACGCTGTGTGGTTCTCTGGTTCTTGCAGTAGACACAGACAGGGTCCTGGCTCCTCGTGGCTCGGTCTCGCTCTGGTCCTCTCTCAGCTCCAGCGGAAGGACACGTGCCTGGGCCGGTCCCCCCCCTCCTTCACCAGGGGCTTGTGGAACTCTCGGCCGGCCCGGGCGTGGATGCAGCCCCAGCAGAGCTCACAGTAGTACTGCAGACACGTCACGTTGGCGCAAAAGAACGGAGCGAACTTCCCGCCGCAGCGAGCGCCCTGGCATTCGTCGCACATCTGGTCGTCCAGCACGTACGGCTTCACCTCCACCTGGAACACACAGAGATCCATACTTTACTGATCCCTGTGGGAGAGATTCAGGCGTGTCCAGCAGCAAAAACACATCTCCATCCAAACACAGAAACACGTTACAGGAGGGTTTGTTTTATTTTTATTTTATTTGAATTAGGACAGTGCACATTAATCAACACGTCAGCCAAAAGCATCAATGTAAATGTACCAGAGTTAGCGTGAGAGCTAAATTGCCTCCGTTGTCCTAAGGCAGGAAAAGAAACATTGACAGAAGGAAAATACAAACATAGTCCAGAGAACAGCACAAAGTTACAGTCACAGTTACAAGGACAGACACAGGTAAGATAACACAACACGACCAAGAGTTTATTAAGCATTGAACTTTAATTAAACTACCTGTGAGTGCAAGATTGATTTGTTTTTAACCAGATTTTTAGTTTGTTGGACCAGAGATGTCGGGGTCAAAGACATCAGAGGCAGAAACAACTCATTCACTACAAGCCGAGAGTCGGGCTGGTTCAAACTTTATTAAAACATATTCAAATGATGCATAAAACCTGTTGAATCAAGACCTAACACTGTGGACCGTGTTTTATTTAATGATTACATGAATGATCCAATATATGAGTGTGGCTCTGTACATTTGTGATAATAATGCTGATAATAATAATAATAATAATAATAATAATAATAATGGTTTTTATACATGTAAACGCTTCACATGTCATTCTTTCACTCCAAACACGGTGGTGATAAAACCGGACCCCCTCGAAAAACAGATGATTCATCTCAAGGGGCCATCCACAATAAATAAATAAATAAATACTACTGTAGCCACAGCTGCCCTGGGGCACACTGACAGAAGCGAGGCAACCAGTCTGTGCCATCGGCCCCTCCCACCACCACCAACCGTTCACTTGAGGTGGGCTCAAACCCACGACCTTCTGACTCAAAGACCAACGCTCTACCACCTGAGCCACTGTCGCCTTAAACAGCTCCTTCCTTCAGAGAGAATAAACATGTCCTGAACATTAAATTAATAATCCAATATTTTCTTATGTCTGTGCGGCCGGTTCTAAAACTGATCAAATATCATCTCAGGGGCCAAGATTACTCCTCCAGGGGCCGGATCTCACCCATGTGTTAGACTTTTAGGGATCTGAGAAAAGGGACAGTGGTGATGATCCTGGACACACAACATTCAACAACATTTATGAACAACTATCAATCTTAGAGTTGATAAGACCCTTATGGACCAATATGGACCAATATGGACCAATATGGACCAATATTAACGGCTTATTAACCGAGCGCGAGGTCTGTGTGGAGAAATATCCGAATGTACAGACCTCGCCACTGCACCTTCTCTGCACAGACCGAGCAAGCAAGGTTAATAAATGTTTTATTATATGACTCTCGTCTGTGTCTTTACCAATGCTTTTGAGATATTTGTGAAGTATGTTCATGTCCAACTTGGTTTTGTGTGATACGCGCTGTTTGGACCAATTGTCATGGTAACGGTCCAAGATGGTAAAATATCAGACCGGTAATCAGCCAATCAGAGCGCGCGTACGGTCCAAGTCATATAATATGGACCAATATGGACCAATATGGACCAATACCTGTGAGTTGATCTGTTTGATTCTCTAACCTGTTTTGGGGATTTTAACGTTTGTGCAAAGTCCTCTGAGAAAACTACTCAAATACATTGAATAAAACCTGTGTTTGGTTCTCTCAGGCTCAGGTGCTGCAGTAAAAAAGTAACATCTTGGTAACATTTAGTTACAAAAATAAAAAAAATGATGCTTCTTTTTTTGTAGCTTGAATGTAGTTTGTAGTGTCAGGTGTGAAATAACTCTGACGGTTAAAGCTGCGGCTCACAGACAGAGGACACTGAGCCGAGCCTTTCACAGGAGCAATCATCATCATCATCATCATCATCATCATCATCATCATCATCATCATCATCATCATCATCATCATCATCATCATCATCATCATCATCATCATCATCATCATCATCATCATCATCATCATCATCATCATCATCATCATCATCATCATCATGTGCAGAGGACGGACTGTGAAAAGTGGCACCTTTAACGACAGTGATGATGTCACCGTAGTGTGTTTAATGAGTTGGAAAAGGAGCGTTTTTGACAGATGGGACGCAGGACCAGTGTCAGACACCAGTGGGAGGACAGGACCATGTGCAGCTAAAAACAGCGCTATGACCGATCACTAGGAGCCCACTGTGACAAGGGAAAGACTGTAATCAATTTATTTATGTATATCGCATTCAATCCCAACAGCAGTTATCTCAGAGGACTTTACAAAACTGTTGATTCTCCAACACAACAAATGTTCCGTCCATGTTTTTCCCCTCAGTCCACAGAGCACCAGCCCCTCACTGATGCTCCTGCAGGAGTCCACCGGAGCCTGCTCTGTCTGTGGCATCACAGCCTTGATCTTTCAGTGGGGGCTTCAGGCAAAGTGGGGTTAAGTGTCTTGCCCAAGGACACAACAACAGCAGACATCAGTGGGAGTCGGTGGAGAAGGTGTAGAGTTGGGTTCGAATCCACGACCTTCAGGCTCTAAGGCCAATACTACCTGTGTGTGTGTGTCTGTGTGTGTCTCTATGTCTCTGTGTGTGTGTCTCTGTGTGTGTGTGTCTGTGTCTGTGTCTCTGTGTGTGTGTGTCTGTGTGTGTCTCTATGTCTCTGTGTGTGTGTGTCTGTGTGTGTCTCTGTGTGTGTGTGTCTGTGTGTGTCTCTATGTCTCTGTGTGTGTGTGTCTGTGTCTGTGTCTCTGTGTGTGTGTGTCTGTGTGTGTCTCTATGTCTCTGTGTGTGTGTCTCTGTGTGTGTGTGTGTGTGTCTGTGTGTCTCTCTCTGTGTGTGTGTCTGTGTGTCTCTCTCTGTGTGTGTGTGTGTGTGTCTGTGTGTCTCTCTCTGTGTGTGTGTGTGTGTGTGCATAATCCCCGTCACATAAATAGATAAAAACCAAACACAGATCAGAAAATGAAACAGTTCAAACACAAGAAATACAACGATAGAACAAACTGAACCATTGGTCCATAAATGTGTCTTTAGACCCTCCTGCTTCGGCAAAGAACAACTCCTCCTGGTCCTCCTCCTCCTGGTCCTCCTCCTCCTGGTCTCTACTTCCTGTCCGGCTGGTGTCTGATGTTGTGTGTATCATTACGCCGTGAGGAAGTCCCTGTGTGTGTGTATGTGTGTGTGTGTGTGTGTGTCTAATCCCAGTGGGCAGACAGTAATTATGCCCATTTCACCATAGAGAACCCGGACGGAGACTGGGCGGCGGCCAGACCCACGGGGGGCGGGGCTTAAGGCACGGCTAAATGAAAGAGCAGAGAGTGATTGTCTGTGTTGTGACGGGAGGAGGCAGGAACATCCTCTGACACAATGACATGGAGTGTTGTGCGTCAGAAGAGACCAGGACGACTGCGATATTCACAATATGAAGCCAGAGGTCACACACACAGCGGGAGGGCACTACACTTACAGAGCTTTCAGAATGTAGAATTAAAATGTATTAGAATGGCTCAGTCAAAGTCCAGACCTAAATCCAAGAGAAAATCTGCAAAAAACTGCTCTTTACAAACACAAGAAGACTCTGGGTTCAAATCCCAGCTTGGAACAGGACCATTCTGAGTGGAATTAGCATGTTCTCCCTGTGTCTGCTCCGGCTGGGTCTACAGCCTCAGTTCTGGATCTACAGCCTCAGTCCTGGGTCTACAGTCTCAGTCCTGGATCTAAAGCCTCAGTCCTGGGTCTACAGCCTCAGTCCTGGATCTACAGCCTCAGTCCTGGATCTACAGCCTCAGTCCTGGGTCTACAGCCTCAGTCCTGGATCTACAGCCTCAGTCCTGGATCTACAGCCTCAGACCTGGATCTACAGCCTCAGTCCTGGATCTACAGCCTCAGTCCTGGATCTACAGCCTCAGTCCTGGATCTACAGCCTCAGTCCTGGGTCTACAGCCTCAGTCCTGGGTCTACAGCCTCAGTCCCTGGATCTACAGTCTCAGTCCTGGGTCTACAGCCTCAGTTCTGGATCTACAGCCTCAGTCCTGGATCTACAGCCTCAGTCCTGGGTCTACAGCCTCAGTCCTGGGTCTACAGCCTCAGTCCTGGGTCTACAGCCTCAGTCCTGGGTCTACAGCCTCAGTCCTGGGTCTACAGCCTCAGTCCTGGGTCTACAGCCTCAGTCCTGGGTCTACAGCCTCAGTCCTGGGTCTACAGCCTCAGTCCTGGATCTACAGCCTCAGTCCTGGATCTACAGCCTCAGTTCTGGATCTACAGCCTCAGTTCTGGATCTACAGCCTCAGTCCTGGATCTACAGCCTCAGTCCTGGATCTACAGCCTCAGTCCTGGATCTACAGCCTCAGTCCCTGGATCTACAGCCTCAGTCCTGGATCTACAGCCTCAGTCCTGGATCTACAGCCTCAGTCCCTGGATCTACAGCCTCTGTCCTGGATCTACAGCCTCAGTCCCTGGATCTACAGCCTCAGTCCTGGGTCTACAGCCTCAGTCCTGGATCTACAGCCTCAGTCCCTGGATCTACAGCCTCAGTCCTGGGTCTACAGCCTCAGTCCTGGATCTACAGCCTCAGTCCCTGGATCTACAGCCTCAGTCCTGGATCTACAGCCTCAGTCCCTGGATCTACAGCCTCAGTCCTGGGTCTACAGCCTCAGTCCTGGATCTACAGCCTCAGTCCTGGATCTAAAGCCTCAGTCCTCTCTATGTGTTTCTTAGTATTGATTCTCTGATTTGTGTTTTGCCAAAGTAAAAAAATTGTAATCTGTATCTTTCCGATCCTCTGCATCTATTGTAGTGTGGTGTAGCGTGTGTAGTTGTGCGTCCGTCTCACCCTCTTGTCGATGTCGTTGTGTTGCAGCTGCACGAAGCGGGCGCTGATGGCGGCGATGTAGCTCTGCTGGTTGGAGAAGGCCACTCGTCCCGCTCCCTTCGGATACTTCAGCTCTGGGTCCGTGTCGATGCCGGCGTAGCACACCCCTCCGTAGAGCCGGTCCATGATCATCGCCAACTCCGCTGCACCACAAACAGAAACACAGGGTTTACGCACGCTAGAGATGTTTATGTTTATGACACGCTCCTCACAGCAGCAGTAGAATGCTCTTGAATGTTATTTCAAAACGTTCTACCGGCCATTATTTCTTTTTAACAAAAAGGTGCCAAAAAACGGTTTTAAAAACAACTAAAATGAATATATTTAAATAATAAGTGCATCCAGTGAAGGTATGTGTAAAGAAAGCATGGATGTGTGTGATGCGGATATTTGAGAATGAATCTACAAAGACAGTTAAAGAGTCTATTCTTGGGTTTCATTAAACTGTCCTGTAGGGGGCGCATGAGCAGAGGTGGGACGACTCAGTTTTTCTCTCATTGAAAACCATGTAAAGTCTGTTTTGGAGTCAAAAGGCTCTCCTCCTGCACGCTGTACGGTTGTTGGAACAGTCTTTATCGCGGAGACTCAATTCTAAAGGAGCACTAACAAATATTTCTCAAAAGAGTCTTGATTTCGGGCATTTTTGGAAAGAAAAACAGAAGAAATTGCTGCGTTTCATTGGGGTGGCCTGCAGGGGGCGCTTATCTGGGAAAGCCTTGATCCACCTCGCCTCATTCCAGTGATTTTTTAAAAGTGTCCTCCTTTATATGAGACCACAGTTGGAACATGAACAAACTCTCTCTTTCTCTATTTGTGCGGTTGCTACAAGCGTACACCGCACAAAAAGATGCTTCTTCTACTATATCTCCGTGTATAAACCACTTCTTCTTCTACTATATCTCCGTGTATAAACCACTTCTTCTTCTACTATATCTCCGTGTATAAACCACTTCTTCTTCTACTATATCTCCGTGTATAAACCACTTCTTCTTCTACTATATCTCCGTGTATAAACCCGGCAGACTGCACCGCCAGGGTACGTCACGTCCTGTCCTACGTTTGTTATTCGCGCCGCTGCCCTGACGTCATATGAAACCCAAGTAGTTAGTGGTTTGAGGATGGGGAGAAGTGGTTGTGTAATTACATGTTATATATTCCAGATATATTTTCAGATCTCAAGGTCTAGACCTTAGATGGTTTGAGTTAGTATCAGGATTAGGGTGTGGCTAACCACACCCATAGGTTATAAATCTCCAACACGCGGTCTGAGAATTCATTCCCTGAAGAAGTCCTTTGGTTTGAGGACGAAACGTCGGGAAAACCTGCTAAGAAGTACAGATGATGGTGAGAAACCTTCCTTTTCTTGGACTAATCCCTGTACGACTGAGGGTTTATACAAACAGTTAACTTGTGTTTATGATCTCAAAGACTGTGGGTTCGCAAGGCAGAGGACCACATAAAAATGACAACTACAATAATAGTTGTTTTCTGTTATTAATGCATTTCCTGTGTGTGAACTGTTTCTCTAATCTGAGGAAAAAAAACAAATTGGTGCAAAAATGAATGGAATAGAATTTTGCGTTGCTCTGACCTGCTCTGAGCGGCCGCGGGACTCCTCCCACAAATATGGTTTTCCTCGGGTCCAGAGGTTGAGACCCGTCCATCACGTAGTCACTGTCGCCGAGGTTCCACGGACGAATCTGAACCTGGAAGAAGAAAAGCACAGCAGCGGGCCTTTAACCACCAGAGAAACAACCTTTTTGAGCCGTTACCATGGTTACAGCAATGTCGGCTCATCGAAACAGACCTGCAGCAGTTTTTAGCTCCGTCAACAAACACCTGATGTTCAGAGATGTTGCTCCAGGACAACTGTTTTGTCCCAGGCGTGTTGTTTAGACCCGTGTCGGCTTTTCAAACCACGGAAAACAGGAATGTGTCGAAATTTAAGTCAGAGAGAGAGAAAGCAAAGAGAGAGAGAGAGAGAGCAAAGAGAGAGAGAGAGAGAGCAAAGAGAGAGAGAGAGAGCAAAGAGAGAGAGATAGAGAGCAAAGAGAGAGAGATAGAGAGAGCAAAGAGAGAGAGATAGAGAGAGCAAAGAGAGAGAGATAGAGAGCAAAGAGAGAGAGATAGAGAGCAAAGAGAGAGAGAGAGCAAAGAGAGAGAGAGAGAGCAAAGAGAGAGAGAGAGAGCAAAGAGAGAGAGATAGAGAGCAAAGAGAGAGAGAGAGCAAAGAGAGAGAGATAGAGAGCAAAGAGAGAGAGAGAGAGCAAAGAGAGAGAGATAGAGAGCAAAGAGAGAGAGAGAGCAAAGAGAGAGAGAGAGCAAAGAGAGAGAGATAGAGAGCAAAGAGAGAGAGAGAGAGCAAAGAGAGAGAAATAGAGAGCAAAGAGAGAGAGAGAGCAAAGAGAGAGAGAGAGAGAGCAGAAAGGATTTTTCCACTGTTCTGAGGTCAGATGTCTGTGGTCTCTCTCTCCCTCCTATCTCTCCACTCTCTCACTTTCTCTCCCCCCTCTCTCTCTCTCCACTCTCTCTCCCTCCTCTCTCTCTCCCTATCTTTTGCACCTGTGATAATGATTCAGAGTAAAGCTCCATCTGTCTCCATCCCACAGAGACAACACTGCACAGATCTACCAGAGAACAGCATTTTGAAATGAAATCATTCTTCATCTTTACCAGAGAGACCAGCGAGAGAGACCAGCAAGAGAGACCAGCGAGAGGGACCAGAGAGAGGGACCAGAGAGAGGGACCAGAGAGAGGGACCAGAGAGAGGGACCAGAGAGAGGGACCAGAGAGAGGGACCAGAGAGAGAGACCAGCGAGAGAGACCAGAGAGAGGGACCAGAGAGAGGGAGAGACCAAAGAGAGAGAGAGACCAAAGAGAGAGAGAGACCAGAGAAAGAGAGAGGGACCAGGGAGAGACCAGAGAGTGAGACCAGAGAGAGGGACAAGAGAGAGGGACCAGAGAGAGACCAGAAAGAGACCAGAGAGAGAGACAAGAAAGAGAGGACAGATATAGAGACCATGAGATCTAGAACAGATAGAGAGACAAAAAGAGGGAGACTTGAGAGAGACCAGAGAAGGATCAGAGAGAGACCAGAGGGAGACCAGAGGGAGACCAGAGAGAGACCAGAGGGAGACTAGAGGGAGACCAGAGAGAGACCAGAGAGAGACCAGAGAGAGACCAGAGAGAGACCAGAGAGAGCCCTCCAAGACGACTGCTGCTGTGATTTAGGGCAATACAAAAATACATTGAAATTGGTAAATATATACAGTATATAAAGTGGACCACATTAGAAAAGTGCAGTGGGACGGACGAAGAAATATAAATGAAAACTTGTCTTAGCTCCGTCACACATGGTCCTGATGCTCTGTAAATACTCACTGGTTTGTCCTTGATGGTGGGGCTGGAGACGCACAGATACAGTTTGTTTTCTTCTTCGATGCAGGAGTCGATCAGAGCCTGGACCGAGCTCTCCTCCTGGAACAGCAGGAACGCGTAACCTACAAACAAACACAGCAGGGCCATACCGGGTTAAAGGAGACCAGTCCGAGAGCTCCAGAACACCCAGAGCAGTCATTTTGACCGTTTAATGAAAAGTGAGTCATTTATACATAAAGGCATGAAGGAAAACCAAGCTCAGACCAGGACCAGACCAGACCAGGACCAGACCAGACCATCACAAAGCGGTTTACAATTGTGGGCATTTGTCTGTCACTCCACACAGAGATGGGAGCGGGGCCAGTGCAGGAGGCACAGACCTATTGTACATGGTTTTAGTGGTAGGGGAAACCGGAGCACCCGGAGGAAACCTACACAGACACGGGGAGAACATGCAAACTCCCCTCAAAAAGGCCCTGTTCCGACCGGGATTCAAACCCAGGACCTTCTTGTTGAGAAGCGAGAGTGCTATCCACTCAGCCACCGTGTCGACCAGTAAAAGTCCAGCCCAAGACCAATCCAAGACCCAGTCAAAGACCAGTTCAGGACCAGTCCAGGACCAGTCCAGGACCGGTCCAAGACAAGTCCCAGACCAATCCAAGGCCAGCCCAACTCTCTCTGATGGAGACGACTCTGATCATGGAACAAAACGATAGATTTGAATCAATAAAATAGTTTCTAACGGTTCTGAATCTGTCTCTCTCTGAGTCTGATCCTGTGTTTCACCACGTCTCGTCTTTCACCTCGGCCTCAAGTGCTCCTCTCCTGCAGCGAGCCATGAACAATTCAGTGTTGGAAAAGAGAGAGAAAGAGAAAGAAGATGAGACAGACAGAGAGAGAGACCAGAGAGAGACAGAGAGACCAGAGAGCGACCAGAGAGAGACTCAGAGAGAGAGATTCAGAGAGACACACAGAGAGAGACCAGAGAGAGACCAGAGAGAGACCAGAGAGAGACCAGAGAGAGACAGAGGAAGAGAGAGACAGAGGAAGAGAGAGACCAGAGAGAGAGAGACCACAGAGAGAGACGGAGGAGGAGAGAGACCACAGAGAGACCAGAGAGAGACTGAGGAGGAGAGAGACCACAGAGAGACCAGAGAGAGACTGAGGAGGAGAGAGACCACAGAGAGACCAGAGAGAGACTCAGAGAGAGAGACTCAGAGAGACCAGAGAGAGAGAGAGAAAGAGAGACTCTCAGAGAGACCAGAGAGAGAGACCAGAGAGAGACAGAGAGAGTGGGGCTTCTGCAGGTGAAAAGTTTTGGAGAAAGCATCCACTCTGCACATTTCAATAATTCAGGACCGGTGCAGAGGGAGCGAGAGGCAGAGTCAAAGCCATTAAAGAAAAGATGGTCCAGACCCAGCGGCTTCTCTCTCTCTCCACCAACACCGCGAAAATAGAGTTCATCTCTGAAGAGTCGAGTGTCGGTGAAAAGAGAGAGATTTTGTAGAGAGTGGAGAAAACAAGGCAGAAAAAGTCGGCAGAAAAGAAATAGAAAATTGCCAGTTTTTTTGCAACGTGAAGTCTCATGGGTCCAAACTACAGCCTGTTTTTACTGTAGATGGAAAGGGCTAACCCGCTGGCTCAATGAAACCCAATAGGGAAGCGCTCACAGGGGAAGTTTTGCTCAAAGGTTTGCTCTGGCTCCGATTGACTTACAAAAAAACGCAGCTTGTCTGTCAAGTTGTTTATGGTCTCTCTCTGGTCTCTCACTCTGGTCTCTCCCTTTGGTCTCACTCTGCTCTCTCTCTGGTCTCTCTCTCTGGTCTCTCACTTTGGTCTCCCTCTGGTCTTTCACGCTGGTCTCTCACTTTGGTCTCACTCTGCTCTCTCTCTGGTCTCTCACTTTTGTCTCTCTCTAACTCTCTCTGGTCTCTCATTTTGGTCTCTCTCTGACTCTCTCTTTGGTCTCTCACTCTGGTCTCTCCCTTTGGTCTCACTCTGCTCTCTCTCTGGTCTCTCACTTTTGTCTCTCTCTGACTCTCTCTGGTCTCTCACTTTGGTCTCTCTCCGACTCTCTCTTTGGTCTCTCACTTTGGTCTCTCTCTGACTCTCTCTGGTCTCTCCCTTTGGTCTCATTCTCAGACCAAAGAGACTAGAGAGAGATGTGGGAAAGAGACCAGGGAGAGATCAGAGAGAGAGACCAGGGAGAGATCAGAGAGAGAGACCAGGGAGAGAAGAATCATTTCAAGATAAAACAACTTTGTCATTTCTTTTAGCAGTGTGTAGTCGAGATGTAGCTAAAGTGTGCGTCCTTCATGTCTCCTCAGTGTCTCCTCTGGTTCCCGTTGTGCTCCTGGTGCCAGCGCTGGTGCCAGCGCTGGTGCCAGCGCTGGTACACTCTGTTCTCGTCAGGACGCCGCAGTCTCGTCACGTCTGACTTGCAGAATTTCAGAATTCCGGGGCGCAGAAAACACCTGAGTTTGTGCCTCGTCAACTTCTATTCACGAGCGAATACAGGTTATCGCATTCAGACATGTCCCTTCATGGTTTTACTGTTTTAGAGAGAGACTAGAGAGAGACCAGAGAGGGACTAGAGAGAGACCAGAGAAAGACCAGAGAGACACCAGAGAGAGACCAGAGAGAGACCAGAGAGAGACCAGAGAGAGACCAGAGAGAGACCAGAGAGGGACCAGAGAGAGACCAGAGAGAGACCAGAGAGGGGCCAGAGAGAGACCAGAGAGAGACCAGAGAGAGAGACCAGAGAGAGAGACCAGAGAGAGAGACCACAGAGGGACCAGAGAGAGAGACCAGAGAGAGACCAGAGAGAGACCAGAGAGAGAGACCAGAAAGAGACCAGAGAGAGAGACCAGAGAGAGAGAGACCAGAGAGAGAGACCAGAGAGAGAGACAAGAAAGAGACCAGAGAGAGACCAGAGAGAGACCAGAGAGAGACCAGAGAGAGACCAGAGAGAGACCAGAGAGAGACCAGAGAGAGACCAGAGAGAGACCAGAGAGAGACCAGAGAGGGACCAGAGAGAGACCAGAGAGAGACCAGGAGGGGCCAGAGAGAGACCAGAGAGAGACCAGAGAGAGAGACCAGAGAGAGAGACCAGAGAGAGACCAGAGAGAGAGACCACAGAGGGACCAGAGAGAGAGACCAGAGAGAGACCAGAGAGAGACCAGAGAGAGAGACCAGAAAGAGACCAGAGAGAGAGACCAGAGAGAGAGAGACCAGAGAGAGAGACCAGAGAGAGAGAGACAAGCGAAAGAGCCGAGAGACCGGAGAGAGACAAGAGAGAGACCAGAGAGAGGGACAAGAGAGAGACCAGAGAGAGGGACAAGAGAGAAACCAGAGAGAGAGACAAGAGAGAGAGACAAGAGAGAGAGACCAGAGAGAGAGACCAGAGAGAGAGACCAAAGGGGGAGACCAGAGAGAGACCAGAGAGAGGGACAAGAGAGAGACCAGAGAGAGGGACAAGAGAGAGACCAAAGGGAGAGACCAGAGAGAGACCAGAGAGAGGGAAAAGAGAGAGACCAGAGAGAGAGACCAGAGAGAGAGACCAGAGAGAGAGACCAGAGAGAGAGACCAGAGAGAGAGACCAGAGAGAGACCAGAGAGAGGGACAAGAGAGAGAGACCAGAGAGAGAGACCAGAGAGGACCAAGACTGGGGAAAGACCACTATAAACCGGCCTGTTTCTGCCAAATTGTAGCTTCAGTCCAGTTTCATTCATAACTCAGAGAACACTCTAGAAGCTTTGTTTACTCGCTCCGGTCGCCGCAGCAGTGAACTCAGAGGACTCAGCTTTTCCTCCGGCTTTTGCCAAAACGTCACAAGAATGAAATAAAAAAGGACAGAACAGAGTGGACATGAGCTCACTGTGCTGGAAACCTCTCTTTTAAAAACATAATGATTTACAGATGCGCGGCGAGAACGGAAAAAATCAAGCGGAGGGCGGCCATTACGTGTTAAATGGTTTGTGGGAAGTGGATTTTTGAATTAGCAAAAACAACATGTGATTGGCTGAAACGGGGAAGTATTTCAGTGATGCGCGAACAAACACTGGACCAGCATTAGCTCAGATCAGATACTACCAGCATCACTTGGTCTGATAGGTATCACTAGAGAGAGAGAGACTAGAGAGAGACTAGAGAGAGACTAGAGAGAGACCAGAGAGAGACTAGAGAGAGACTAGAGAGAGACCAGAGAGAGACTAGAGAGAGACCAGAGAGAGACCAGAGAGAGACTAGAGAGAGACTAGAGAGACTAGAGAGAGACCAGAGAGAGACTAGAGAGAGACTAGAGAGAGACCAGAGAGAGACCAGAGAGAGACCAGAGAGAGACCAGAGAGAGACTAGAGAGAGACTAGAGAGAGACTAGAGAGAGACTAGAGAGAGACCAGAGAGAGACCAGAGAGAGACTAGAGAGAGACCAGCGAGAGAGCAGAGAGACACTAGAGAGAGAGAGACCAGAGAGAGACTAGAGAGAGACTAGAGAGAGACCAGCGAGAGAGCAGAGAGACACTAGAGAGAGAGAGACTAGAGAGAGACTAGAGAGACTAGAGAGAGACCAGAGAGAGACTAGAGAGAGACTAGAGAGAGACCAGAGAGAGACCAGAGAGAGACCAGAGAGAGACCAGAGAGAGACTAGAGAGAGACCAGAGAGAGACCAGAGAGAGACCAGAGAGAGACCAGAGAGAGACTAGAGAGAGACCAGAGAGAGACCAGAGAGAGACTAGAGAGAGACCAGCGAGAGAGCAGAGAGACACTAGAGAGAGAGAGACCAGAGAGAGACTAGAGAGAGACTAGAGAGAGACCAGCGAGAGAGCAGAGAGACACTAGAGAGAGAGAGACTAGAGAGAGACTAGCGAGAGACTAGAGAGACTAGAGAGAGACCAGCGAGAGAGCAGAGAGACACTAGAGAGAGAGAGACCAGAGAGAGACTAGAGAGAGACTAGAGAGAGACCAGCGAGAGAGCAGAGAGACACTAGAGAGAGAGGGACCAGAGAGAGACTAGAGAGAGACTAGAGAGAGACTAGAGAGAGACCAGCGAGAGAGCAGAGAGACACTAGAGAGAGAGAGACTAGAGAGAGACTAGCGAGAGACTAGAGAGACTAGAGAGAGACCAGCGAGAGAGCAGAGACACTAGAGAGAGAGAGACCAGAGAGAGACCAGAGAGAGACCAGAGAGAGAGCAGAGAGACACTAGAGAGAGACTAGAGAGAGATTAGAGAGAGACCAGAGAGACAGACTAAAGAGAGAGAGACTAGAGAGAGAGACTAGAGAAAGACCAGCGAGAGAGCAGAGAGACACTAGAGAGAGAGAGACCAGAGAGAGGGACCAGAGATAGAGAGACCAGAGAGAGAGAGAAACCAGAAAGAGAGACTAAAGAGAGAGACCAGAGATACTAGAGAAAGACCAGAGAGAGACCAGAGAGAAAGATCAGGAACGGACCAGAGAGATCAAGCAAAGAGACTAGAGAGAGACCAGAGAGAGAGAGACCAGAGAGAGAGAGACCAGAGAGGACCAAGACTGAGGGCTACGGGAAGACCTCAAAAGTTTTTTCTTCCGACTTTAAATAAATTAAATTTCCAATTAATTAAATTAAATTGCCATGTGATACTACTGTAGCTCTCACATGACGAGGTGCTGTCGGAGCACACTGCAAAAGAGAATTGCACACTCAAAAAACATATTATTGCACTTCCTGTTGTTCTGTGTACTGACTGATTCTCTGGTCTGTTGTTCTGTGTACTGACTGATTCTCTGGTCTGTTGTTGAGGAATCGAACCACTTTGTCACTAAAGTAAATGGAATTGAACTCATCAGCACAGACCTTTACCGTTAGCATATGAGAGAAGGCAGAAGTTGGTCGGACGATTATGGCGTATTTTCTCAGTCCCTACTTTTACCGTGATGAATAAATTTGACATTTTCATCACATTTGGAAGCGGCGCGTCGCGATGACCCGTTTCTCTGGAATAAAACTGATGAAACAATTCAAAAGTGAGGAAAGACTCCTCCTCAATCGCTCTCATTACCTGGATAACAGCAGGACATATGTGGCTTCTTAGTGAAGGGAGAGAGACAAGAGAGAGAGACCAGAGAGAGACCAGAGAGAGACCAGAGAGGGACCAGAGAGGGACCAGAGAGGGACCAGAGAGAGACCAGAGAGAGACCAGAGAGAGACCAGAGAGAGACCAGAGAGAGACCAGAGAGAGACCAGAGAGAGACCAGAGAGGGACCAGAGAGAGACCAGAGAGGGACCAGAGAGAGACCAGAGAGAGACCAGAGAGAGACCAGAGAGAGACTAGAGAGAGACTAGAGCGAGACTAGAGAGAGACTAGAGAGAGACTAGAGCGAGACCAGAAAGAGACCAGAGAGAGACCAGAGAGAGACCAGAAAGAGACCGGAAAGAGACCAGAAAGAGACCAGAAAGAGACCAGAGAGAGACCAGAGAGAGACCAGAGAGAGACCAGAGAGAGACCAGAGAGAGACCAGAGAGAGACCAGAGAGAGACCAGAGAGAGACCAGAGAGAGACCAGAGAGAGACCAGAGAGAGACCAGAGAGAGACTAGAGCGAGACCAGAGAGAGACCAGAGAGAGACTAGAGCGAGACCAGAGAGAGACCAGAGAGAGACCAGAGAGAGACCAGAGAGAGACCAGAAAGAGACCAGAAAGAGACCAGAAAGAGACCAGAGAGAGACCAGAGAGCGACCAGAGAGAGACTAGAGAGAGACTAGAGAGAGACCAGAAAGAGACCAGAGAGAGACCAGAGAGAGACTAGAGAGAGAGACCAAAGAGATAGACTAGAAAGAGACCAGATAGACTAGAGAGAGAGAGACCAGATAGACTAGAGAGAGAGAGACCAGAGAGACACCAGACTGGAGCTGCAGCCGTCACTTCCTGCTCCTGGACTCTCTCATTACCTGAACTCATTTGGCCCATTTCCACTTTCCGCTCCTTTCACTCTGAGTCTGAACGACTTCAGGCTTTTGTGAGATTCAACATTTATATTTAATGAGCAGAGTTGTCCAAAGTGTGCTGTTGAGAGCAGACTGAAATATACAAGAGAGAAATGCAGAGAGCCATGTA